CCTTCCAGCTCCATCCATATTGCTGCAAATTGCATGAGTTTATCTTTCTTGATTGCTGAGTAATATTCCATTGTGTATTTGCACCACATCTTCTTGATCCAGTCATCTATTTTTGGACATTTGGGTTGTTTTCATAGCTTAGCTATTGTAAATAGTGCTGCTACAAACATAGGGGTGCAGGTGCCCTTTTGAATTCATGTTTCCGTTTCCTTTGGGTAAATACCTCGGAGTGGAATTGCTGCATCATATGGAAGCTCCATCTTTAGTAAGTTGAGGAATCTCCACACAGCTTTCCATAGTGGTTGGACCAGTTGGCACTCCCACTAGCAGTGCAGGAGAGTTCCTTTTTCTCCATGTCCTCGCCAACATTTGTCGTTGTTAGTTTTTATTTTTTTAAATATGTGCCATTCTCACTGGTGTCAGATGGTATCTCATTGCAGTTTTGATTTGCATTTCCCTGATTGTAAGTGATGATGAACATTTTTTCATATGCCCGTTGGCCATTTGCGTTTCCTCTTTGGAGAAGTTTCTTTTTAGCTCTTCTGCCCCTTTTTTGACTGGATCATTTACTTTGTTTTTGTTGTGAGCTATCGGGATTCTTGATTTCTATTGCACCAACATTTTTAAGAAGGAAGAAAAGTTTTCATGATAATCTCTGAATAATTTTGATTCAAATTATTTAGAAAACAGTTCTATTTTCACTTTATCATCTTCTGTGAATTTAAGATCTTTAAGTTTTACTCAATTAAATATATTTAAGGAGAAAAACTAGTGTCTGGGAAAAAACAGGCAAATAGGTACTTCCAAGGTCCTGACTGAACATGTCATGCTACTTAAATATGCACCTATATTTTCTAACACCTAAAAAAGGAATTGTGAGATTATTCAGTCAGAATACATTATGTTGCCTCATAGTAACAAAAATTCTCCAAGATTCCAAAAGCTTAAAATTTCCATGATTTATTTATCAATCTTAGTACACATTCATTGTTCCAGCTGCAATATCACCCCCATTGTGGAATCGAGTGTAGAAGGTCTTCACTATCTGGAATATGCTTATAGAGGAAGGAGAGAACTAGCAAGAAAACACCCACCAACTTTATATATGTCCTCTAACATGCCATTGAACAGTGCATGTTATAATATTGACTGTCTTAGGGAATTAACCACTAAGGGTTTATGAAACTTTTAGTCCTGAACAATGTAAAATATATTTTTTTTCCATTTGAATTCTTATAACTTCTTAAAGTCCTCCCCTCTCATAGATTCTTGCATGGAGAACATCATTATCACTTGGAACTGAATTATATTTTGCATGTATATATGGGATTAATTGGTTAATTCAGACTTCCATGTACTCAGCAGGAACCTGTTCTTTCTACAAGCAACATCTCATATTCTGATAATTATAACTACCATGGTGATCTCCTTCTTTGTGGTCAATCACTTCCTATGAACACAACTTTGAAACATATTATGTTCTTTCCCATTTAAGAGATAGGAATACTCAAATACAGCACGTAACTTGCTCAAAACACCACGTAATTTGGATTCCATATTATTTCTACTTTTCCTCATGTAGGTGCTGGCTAATCAGGTAATCAATGACTTGATGACCATGATTTTGAATTCTCAGATTGTCTAAATTGCAAATAAAACTGTTCATCTCTGCTGTCATTTACAGCAGAAAGTCATGGGTAAATGGGGAGTGATGGGTTACATTAGTGTGATGAGTTGGTAAGAAGGTAAAACATAAAGGTAAATGATAAGAAATAAGAAGAGTTGAGCTAAACCTACCTTTGCAAATATCAACATATCATTATTTATAATATTATTATGCCAAAATAAATTTAATTATGTCCTAAAGCCTCATGATATTGATTATTCTGTGTAATGTTCTACAGTATTTATTTTGTTGGATTTACACTAAAGGTGAATGATATTAATTTTAAAATTATTTATGATTAAATTTAAGAGCAGTGTCTGGTTTTATAGCTGACTAACTTATTCATTATTCCTCCCCCTGATGAAACCTACTATAAGGAAACCTCAAATAAGACTAGCAGTAATCATGGCATGATAGAACGATGCAGAAATAAAGTCTCATCAATCCTTATACTTCTCTACATGACTATAATCTGCCTTAGGTATTTTATTTCTTATTTTGCCTGCCTTAGGATTGGATACAATTGGATTAAATCCTAGGATACTCTAGTCATAATTTGTTGAAAATATGGTTCCGCGGTTATGACTCTTTTCATGGGAAACATACTTCATAATATAGCAAAATATGTTTAATAAAAGTTGTTCATTGTCACCTTACTGAAGAAAACTTACTAAAAAGCTTTCAAATCATCTAGTGGAGAGGGAGGGATACTCCCTGTTCAGGAAGGGAAGAGGTTGACAGGATGGTATCTGTAAAGAACTTAGAAGTCCAGAAATGGGAAAAAAAATCTTTAGAAACTGTTCCTTATAGTACTTCCCCAGAATAATGGCATCAGAGAAGTTCCCTGATTCTCTTCCAGGGAAAAGACAATCTAAAATAGCCCAGAGTGACACCCATGAGTTAGGGCAAAACTAGAGCACCTCCTTGACATTGGAGACCAATTCTGACCACAACAGAAGACACAGTGAGGAAATCCAATATTACATAAAAGGTGGGTCAAGAAAGGCAACTAGAGACGGTGGCCAGGGCAGAACTGATGGTTCAAACCCATGCTCCTGTGCTGTTAGTTCTGGAGAGGGGAGAGCTACATAGTGTGGAAGCACACTCCTAACTGTGGAGAGATATGTTCAAAGGTGACAGGGTGAGCCATGTAGGTCTCAATGGAGAAGACAATATTCAGGATGATATTTCTCCTTCATTAGCCCCTTTAGGACTTTAACTGCTTCTTTGAAGTGGGACTAAAAGCCCAACTCCCAGCCCATAGAGACATGGATCTGAAAACCCAGAAAAGAAGACCTGTCAGTAGTTCCAGAGGCATGAGCTGCACCCACACATCATGGTCACCAGTGACTGGATCCCTCCAGGCCCCTCCCTCATCCCCAGACTCAGAATCTGCAGAGAAGTTCTCCCATACAGCACCATCTACTGGAAAAATGGAAGTTCTGTACCTTTAGGACATTGGGACAAACAGCAACCTAGAAAGCTAGAGAATGGGAAGATGGAAAATGCAACACATGGCATCTTGAGTCCTCAAAATACTTCACCACAGAGAGAAAAAACAAAATTCTAGAAGTCAACCACAAAAACATGGTAGATCCCTTCTGCCCACCAGAAACAGAGTTCAAAAATGTCATAAGAAATTCAAAAAAAGGAAAAAATGACAAAAAAAATGTTCAAAGATATATAGGAAAACTCAGAAAAGTGAATGTCCTGAGAAATAAAATTAATGAACAGAAGGTTGAAATTGAAGCTTTAAATAAGAAAATAGCAGTGGTGCATGATATGAAAAGACCAGTAGAGGAGATATACAAATATATTACATATTATATCATATATTAATTCATAAAGATTAAATCCATATAAGGTGTCTTATCTGATGGCAATGATACAAAACTAGAAGTCAACCACAAAAAGAAAGTAGGAAAAATCTCTAGTACATGGAGACTGAACACCCCACTACTGAAAAATGATTGGGTTAATGAGGAAATCAAAAAAAAAAAATTTAAAAATACTTGGAGACAAATAAATATGAGGAAAAACCTACCAGAGTCTATGGGATACAATAAAACTAGAATTAAGAGGTTTCCAGAACAGTAAAAAAAAAAAAAAAAAACCTAATTGTCTTCTGTGAGAACAGCTTCTTTTTCAAACTATCCCTACAGCTTATCCTGTCTGAAAAGCTGCTCTCCTCTCTGAACTCATCACTGTTAATAAATGCACTGCTGTTTCCCATCCAATGGAATCTGTATGCTCAAGAACAAAATATCTACTCTTTCATTCAAAATCTTAAAAAAATTTCTTTCAGCCTTCACCACAAGGATTTGAAAATTGTTTAATATGTACACAGTTTATCAGACTTCTACAGGTTATTTAGATAATTTTAACATAGTTACAGTTTTATGCCCATAAATCAAAAATAACTACATTCTTCAACACAGGAATAAAATAAACTCCATGAGCAAACAAAAAGCTAATTAAGAATAAGTAAAACTTAACATCGGAAAAATGTACAGATGTGACAGCAGAGACAATGGAATGTATAATATTATTAATCAATTAGGAAGCTGCAAGCTTAAGAAGCTGTCGTTCTTTGATATTACGTATTGCAGAAATTCTTTAAGATAGGAACTTCATAGAAGTCTTGGTTACTTAGCAACCAGTGACCCAAGGGAACACGGTTAATTTTTGGCCTCCTATAAGTCACTATGTCTCCCTGGGATGCCATGAGTCTTACAGATGGAATTGTCCACACACACATTGGATAAGAACTTGTCACCAGTACATCCATGGCCTGGCATAGTGAAGAGCATAACACCTATTTTGGGGAACCAATTCCTTCATTAGTAGTTCAATGCCTTACCCTCTCTTTTTCAAGTAACAGTATTAAGACAAAATATTCAGCTTATTTCAGAATATGGATCAGGCTGTGCACTATTTTTCAGTAGTCAAGACAGTGGAAAAGTACAGCTTCCTTGTTTTACTTTACCCTCCTTAACCTTATAATCACCATGCGGTGGAAGCCTATAGACACAGGAGCCCTTATTATCCATGGATTGACACTGTTCACTGAAGCTATGGTCTACAGATGATGAGTGATGGGTGGTGGTCAAAGTAGCCATTATAGAAACTTTGAAGAATCAAAATAAATGTATTTTTAGATGAGTGTGCAGACACCAGCAGCTGTAGCTAAACAACACAATAATGAGATGTTGCTGTGTTATTGTCCAGGGCAGTGAGGAGGAAGAGAGTCTGGACAGGCTGCTGACGATAACCAGGGAAGATATAAAAGGTCCTCAGGTCGCAGCCACTCCAGACCTTCCCACCGCCGCTGAGCATGCACACAGGCTCCATGACTGTTCTGGGCTCTCCTGGGATCTGCGGTGATACTTCCTATAGAACTTACTGCTATATCCCAGTGACTTCTTCAGCTGCAATTTGCTCCAAAAATGTAAGTTCCACTTTTGGGGTGTATTTACCCAGTAGTTACCAAGGAAACCTCTGGCTTCTGGATAACTGCCAAGAATCCTATGGTGAAGTGCCAAGCTGCAAATCTCCCAGCTGTGACCTCAAGACCTGCAACACAAGTTGTGGCCCATCAAGCTTGCATGTGCCCTGCAACTATCCAACTGTAGGCAAAGTAAGCAGCGCCTGCGAAACTACCAACATTGGACCCAGTCCCACTTGCAGCCCACACCCTCAGAGCAAGGGGTACGTATCTGATTGCTCCCCATCTAGCCGATCTACATCTAAAGCCTACCAGTCCTCCAGCTATGGCTCCAAATGCTTTGGTCAACTTAATTACCTATCCAAGAGTTTCCAGCCCCTAAACTACTGCAGAGTGGGTAGTCTGGGGTTCAGAAACTACCCAAATCTTGGCATGATCCGCAGTAGCTTCTCACCATCATGTTCTATTACCTACAGCTGCCAGCCGCCAAGTTATTCAGTGATAAATTACAAATATGGGTCAAATTATAGGCCCATGAGCTGTCAACCACTGAGTTATAGTTCTAGACGCTTCCTGTCTCTGAGCTGTATACCAAGTACCTTCCCTCCTCTGAGGTATTTATGCAGTGGCTGCAGACCTCTGAATTGTTATTGATCAACTTTCCCAGTTATTAACTGTTGGAAATTGTCCAATAGGAAGGATTCTACTAGTACCTTCTCTAATATTCTGATGTATTACTTCATATGTCTCAAGAACTTTGTTACATTAACCTCAAATATAACTCTAGGACTTACTAACTAAAACTATTACCATCCGCCAGTTGCTCTGTTAATGTACTTTGTGTTGAAGACTGATTCTGAAGGTGGTGTTTTTGTTTCTGAGAATGACTGTGATGGACACACTGAAGAGTCCAGATGAAATACAACATCTTATTTGATTGCCTTTCTTATTTGATTGTCACTGATACTTATCTGCCAGTGAGGTTTTCACCTACCTTTCCTGACAATGTGGGGCCTCCTTGGGTTAAATGATGACTCCAGCATGTTAGATTGTTTTTCTGTCAATTGTTGACTGCCTCGCTAGCATCTTGCTCATCAACTAAAAGAAAGCATTATTCTTAAACATAAAGAATTGAACTGTTTTCACCCTTCACCTACTGACTGACTGTATGGATGTTCATGCTGCGATGCCCAACTAGAGTTCAAAATCAGAAGATCCTCTCTTCTAAACTAGCTGTCAAACAGGATCGGGGCACTCAACTTTTGTTCTTGAGGCCAAAGAGAGAGACTCAGATGTAACAGAAGAACTAAAGCATTTGTTTAAAGAATGGAAAATACTTCTGTGAAAACTTTGTGGTCAGTGATGATATAGTTTCACGATTCTGACACTGACTGTGATGGACACATGAAATACAACACCATCCTGCTGAATTATTGCTTTCTGATTCTGGGGGAGGTCCTGGTTATAGTTTATGAACAAATTGAACAAATGATAATTTCCATTATGCTTCATGTCATACAAACTAAAGTTTTGTCTGTGTTCTAGGCAACAGGCCTGGTATTTTCAAAGCACTAGTTTTCTGCCATTTTGCATAAGGTCTAAATTTAAAATATAAAGAAGTTAGAATGTGAATTCTCAGGGCTTTGATTAATTTTGTGTAGTTCTATTTTTAGCTTACTACTTGTTATCCCTTTTACAGTATCTATGATTATATCTATAGAGGAAAATTTGAGAAAGGTATTTATGAACTATATCAATAATAAAAATATGTAAAATATTAAATACATCTAAATTTGTCTGCACAATGCCTGAATTTATTGGGTTTTGTGGCTAACGTTTGAGCTTTGGGACAGATTTAATATTGAACTCACTGGTAAATGATTTAACCTCTAGAAAATTTTCACAAAAAATAAAAATAAAATCATCTATTTACCATCTAAATTGATTTTTTATAAATAAAAAGCTAATATTTAAAGTTAAATTAAACAACCCTTAGACATTAATGTAACTGGAAATTAGAAGTATGGGGAAGATATTCAATATCAAGTCAGTAACTAAAATTAAAGCTCATGAAACATAAAAATGGGACTAGCATTTTATTTATTCATTCAATAGGTCTATTATGTATAGAAAAGTCCTGTAGAAAGAATAAAAATACATTGTTTCTGCTTGAATATATCAGAGGACAGTCAAGACACTTTCTTTGAATTCATCTAATTTTTGAAGAATGCTACGTATTGAAAATGTCTACTTCGTACTGAGAAAAATCTAAGATATACTTAGCAAACATGACCAGTTTAATTTCTGCTCAATGTTTGAACATTGAGTATTAAGTATTGAAAATAGTTACCGTCTTATGTAAGCATCCAGTTGTCCTCACTGAACTTTCCTTCTGTACACTTTAATAGAAAGACTATTCACTGAGCCATTTAATGAGACTTTTTGGGGATATTCAAGATATGGTTGATGTTATTCCCAAGATTCATTCTGAGTAGGGATATCCTGTAATATATGTGTTATAGAGAGAGTACTATACCAAAACAAACATAACACTATCTCGGCTATTTTAAGTTCAATATAAAAAATAGTAGAGGAAGAACTTTACTTGGAAGAATACTTGGTAGAAGAAGTGGTATTGGAGAGATGTCTGGATGGTGAGAGGACTATGGCATGGGTATACAAGAAGGATAAAAGAGGGTTGAGTAGTAGATAAATATGGAAAGATGTATAGTTTAGTTCAACCCAAGGAAAACACACATAACACCATCATTGAAAAAACTGGGAGGAAATATAGGACATCAGATTAATATATCTTGGACAAGGAAGACTTCCCTAAAGAAGAGCTAACCAACCAATAGGCAATAAGAGGAAAATAAAAGATTTATAACTATGACTACATAAAAATCAAAGGCTCCTGATAATGGAAGATATGATAAAGAACTAAAAAATAAAGCAAGAGTATGTGTGGTGGGGGAGGGACTATATGAAAACTATTTGTACTTTCCACCCATTTTTTTTCTGTAAATCTTAAGCTTAATAAATCATCTAATCCTGAGAAAATCAATCAAACAAAAGAGGAAAAGAAAATATGTATAGCATGCATCATAAAATTGTTGCCCAGAATATATTTAAACTCCTACAAATAAAAATAAAAAAGAACAAGTGACTCAATAAAAAATAAAAAATATAAACAATTATTAATAGAGGAAATAGAAGGGGTGAGTAAATCTATTGAAGATTGCAACCAAGGAGTAATTAGTAATTATAAATAGAAGATACTATTTGTCATCATGTATTTGGCTTATGTCAACTTAAAGAAGTGTCCACACATGATGGAAGTGGTCATAGAACCTGGCAGAAGTGCAGTGTAGGTGACTATTTAAAATGCACACACTTTTTCAAGTTTTAGAATATTTTTTCCAGCACAGCCTGGATACTGAAATATTGGAGACAAAGCAAAGCCAAACAATAGGTGCTTCTAATAAATATTTTCCAAGATGTAAATACTGTGGAATATTATATCCATACAAATTGTATGATGAAAAACATTGAAAATAAAAACTAAGATTCATAACAAGATGATATGTAAAATACAAGATATTTTATGTATAACCACACACATAAACATTGCAACTGTGGTCCTCTTAAATTTACACTTAAAATAGACAAAGAAAACCTTTCTTTTCCTAGACATTTCACTGCACAGCTGATCAGTATTTTCTGCCTCCCAAATCAGTATTTGCTGCATCATCTACATTTTCATTTTTTTTTGGGGGGGGGAATATACCACGTACAGATTTAACATATCACTGCCTACATCTTTAAGTGCTTTAAATGTTTCTCTTCTGTACATAGCAGAGAGCAGAATATAGTGACTTCACATATCTTTCTGAACTGTATGGCATGCTGTAAGTCAAAACTCTCCCCTGGTATTTTGTTAATGCACAATATACTTGATAGGTAAGTAAAGTCTCTTTCAATTCCTATACTGGAAAGTTTATGTTTAGGTGACTAACAATCCACATTATAATAAAGGTTCAAGAAAGAGTTGATAAAGTGACTAGAAAGGTGTGAATATACCGCCTAAAACTTATGTTTGTTTCTGTCTGCTGTCTTGAAACTGTATTATCAGACATCTTTTTGACCCCTTCACTCATGGACCCTATTTTCTGTTGCCGAGAAATAATTCTACATAGACGCTAAATCCAATTAAGCCTTAGTCATTTTAAAACTTTCTTATGAAAGTTCCAAATATACAGTTAGTGCGCTTTAGCAGTCTCACCTGACAGTTCAATTAACCATACTGTCACTCCAAATTCACAAGAAAATATGTCAAACTCCTGTACCTCTGTATTTATTCATCACCACCCACACCTTAGTGAAGATGCTCATTGACACCGCAGCGTGCTGAAGTCACCGTCCCCACATCCAATTCAGAAGTGAATCAGAGAGGCTCATAAAATGATTTCTTCAACCACTCACTCTGATGCCTGAGCCTGCTCCTTTTGTCTGTTATTTTACAGTGACTGACAGCTGGGATTCCATCAGTTACCAGGCCACGTGCCTTCCACTAGGTCACTGACAGATTGGCCTTGGTTTTCTGCTCGCTGGCCCAAGTCCTGCAGCTTCAGGGGCTGCCATTGTCCGCTTCTCTCACTCCAGGGCCACCCTTATTTACAGAGGAAACTATTCAATTTGAGAAGTAACTTTCCTAATAAAAAAAAAAAAATAAGGCCTCCCTGGTGGCGCAGCAGGTTGAGTGCAGCACTGTGAGGCTGTTTGCAGTCTCTGCAGCGCGGGTTGGATTCCCAGGTGGCCAGGGAGATACCCACATGGCGTGGCAGACCTCTCCTGCCTCGCCTGCTGCTCCCCTCAGCAGTGTTTTCTGTCTGTCTGCCTGTTCTTCTCCCCACTCTGTCTCTGGTGAATCCTTTCATCCTCCTGTGCCTCTGGCCTGTACCCCAGCACTTGTATAAATAAATCTTTAAATAATAATAATAATAATCACATACTGTAGGGTAAGGAAAAATGTCAGGCTTTTCTGCCCTCCTGCCATCAGGATAGATGATGGATCCTTGAGGTCCTGAATGCAGGCCTGATGGCGGGCACCTGGAATAGGGTGCAGGCATAGGTAGATGGGATTCACCTGGGCTAAGACTATGCTCTTAAGGGTGGCGTCACGGGGACGCCAGCAGCAGCAGAAGCCTAGAGAGAAGCCGAAAGAGAAGAAGCCTGAAGCAGAAGCAGAGAACGCCAGAGAGCCCAGATAGAGTGAAGATTTGCTGGGGGCTGGGAGGACTGCCAGCCTCCCTGCCCCCCAGCAACCCTGCCTGCCACGTACCTGCTGAACCCCAATAAAAGACCTGCCAAAACCACTGAGGACTCTGACTCCTCCTTTACCTGGTCTGCTGGATCAGAAAACCTGCACTGTGGTCCATTCCTGCCCTTACACATACAGACATTGAATTTACCTTTAGATTCTGCTACTTAAAAGAAGGGGGCTAAAATTCCTTTATCTAAAGAAGAAAGATTCAAAAATCCAGAATCTTTTTTTTTAAGGAAGTATACAGATTGGCATTCCAGATCCTTTCTTTCAAGAAGCAATTATGATAAATATATTATTACTTCATTATCACTATTTTGTACTGTAAACT